GCTGCTGCAATGAGGGAGTTAGTATGATAACAGCCAGCTTCATCTGACCGCAGATAAACCCAGTTGATGTGAGGCTTTTTGGTCTTAATTTCTCTCAGTGTGCTTTCTATGATGGAACACACGGCAAACCAGTCCTGCTGGCACGCTTCAAACAGATGGGCATACGACCGCAGTTCTAGTCTTCCTTCAAGGTTCGCATCACGTGTGATCACCGTCGAGATATGCCAACTCAATCCTCTCTTGCGAAACCAATGTGAGTGCTTCTCAAGATATTTAAGCTGAAGGAATTTCATTGCCCAGTCCATTATTACCATTGCACAGTTCTGATTTGTACTTATCGTCTTCAGCTGATCTTGCTTTTCTGCTTCCTGGTTTACAGAGCGAACAATATGAGCCTTCCACTCGAAAATATCTGTGCCAGTTTGAAGTCGTATAGCAGATCGTCTCGACGTTCACTGCCGTAAGAGATCCAAAATTGACCTTGAACTTTGTCTTCGACTTCATCTTGGACATTTCGCAGATTTTGACACTCGTTACAGTTTTCTGTGTGTTGATGGGAGCATTTCTCCTGGAAGCCGGGGTCTTGTTTGTCACTTAAAGCGAACTTGCGGCAATGATCAGGACATAAAGCTTCTTCTGGATTACGGTGAACGCGATAATTGGTCTTTAAGTAGTGTTTTTCACTCTTAAACCTTTCATTAACCTCAGCACACTATTGACTATTCATTCCTCCTTTCTCTAGATCATCGACAATCATTCGATTTTCTGGAAACCAGGAGAGCCATCGGCAGCAGTATTGTCGAGGCCTTGTAACGACTTTCTCTCTGAAGCTTGTCTGACTTCTAGGATTTTGAATAAAGTGGTGCGACTGAGAGGTTCAAACTTCTCCTCCTGACAAAACTGTATGTACTGGCTAATCATCATAGACCGCGTCACGGTACGCACCACGTTCGGCATCTTGATGGTTTCGCCATTGTCTAGCTTAAGGAATTTAGTTCCGTAAGACACGTCTTGATAAAAGTATGGGCGATTAATGAACTCTACGAAATGATCGACTTTGGTCATATCAATGCGAACACGATGATGTACCTTCTCCTCAGGCACTTGACCGGGACCTATCGTTCTTGCATGACACCGCGCTCTCTGTATCTGTAGTGTAGACAACTTTCCATATGGCGAGTGAAGTTCTTTTCATGTGCTGACCGAGTACTTATACGCCTAAGAATTTGCGTCTTGATGCTTTTGGTTTTGGCGTTTTTGTAAGCGGTCATCAAAGATTTCAACAAATCATCGGCTTCTGCTGTCTCATCCTTTTCTCCACCTGGAGAAGCCAAGGCGTGAAAGAGCGTCTTGCTGTCGTTTGGGGCTATCACATTACATACGAGCATACAGTCTTCAACCGCTTTCTTCCCACGACACAAGCTGTGATGGTAGTGGCTGTCGCTCGCGAGGAATATTTCTGGCAACCTTGTCCATCACAACATTGTAAGTACCGAGAATCTCTGTTTCGGGGATCTGACGGAAAGTTGCTTCAGGAGTTGCAGGAGTCCAACAGGGACTAGAAAAGGGTTTCCTATTAGGGGTAGAAATTTGACGAAATGGCGTTGTCTCCATTTCAGCAGCATGTGCTCCTATGGCTGTTCTTGCACCAGCTTTGTCCGCTCTATAAGAAAATAGGTCTGCAATGCGTACATGTGTCGCTTACGAAATTGAGCTGCTTTTTAATGTCTGGTGTCTCATTGGGTTTCTATCAGAAGAGCTAATATCTAATTACCATTAGATAGTTTTCAATATTGATCCTGTTCATCAATAACACAAGATAACTAGCTTACAAAAGTCCTGAAATGTTCATTCTAAAGATGAGAGTTATTGGCCAAACTTTGTTATGGAGGTCTCATTTTAATAACAAAGGTTGCACATGTAACCCGAGGATTTAAGGAACTGGAAAAACATCGGCATAATCTCCCATAGTGGTCTGATAGATTCAGTCATGATTATGTTTACGTAACGAAGTGGAATTCACTTCTGAAGTTTGTAGGTTGATTGTCTTTTCCAAGGCAAGTTATGTGAAATGAACTCCAGGGAAGAATTTCATATGAATATTTTTGACATTTTGTGTACCAATACACAAGGACAAAACTTTGGAGAGGGGCTGGGACATTCGGGAAATGATGTTATCTACACTAGAAGCCATTGGGAGCTTGATTTGGTTTGAATATATGACTAATTTTGGACAATACACACATGTAAAGTAACACAATGCTGAGTGTAGGTTTCTTTTGTCCATTAGGGCATAAAGTTCAACTTTCAGTTGGTTGCGAGCAAAACGTTTACTATAATTATTGTAATTAGGTTTTGTGGGACTGTATTTTCAATAAAGAACACAGAAAAATTTAGTTCAGGTGGGTAGATATGAGGTTGCAAATGGAAGAGTCTAGGTCAAAAAGATAGGTGCATTACAAGATCAGAGCACTAGCAATACTTTAATGAATCATATGTTGAGTTAAGTACTCTGAAGTAACATTACATTAACGTTGCTAATAATTTTTAACCCAATAAGATTTACAATTTGACCTGGAGGTTTTATTTAACAGAAAGTTCAATAGAGATAGAGTGTCACCATAATAGATTTCAGGAACAGTAATCAGAGACATTACTTAAACACAGCAGAGTTCAATGTACAGGCAAGTTCATGATGGTATCATGTGATTTAAACTACCAGAAGCTTTTAAGTTTTCTTATTATTGAAATTGTAATTTCATGCCAGTGAGTCTACCAAATTCAAGTCACGTGGAGAAATGAATGGGTGAACTTGACATCATCATGCAAATGGTCGACTTCACATCATCATGCAAAGTGCTAATCTACCATACAAAAAGGTCCAAAACAAATATGGTAAGCAACTGAATTTCATGTATCACTTTGTGTTAGAGCACACAAGAGGACTTGTGAGACCTGCTTCTCTCTCATTTGCCAGAACAAGATTGAAGTTTTGGTACCAATCAAAATTCAGAATGACCGTGACAGTTTGGAACTGATCTGTTAAGACTATGTTTTTAAGTGGTCTACAGATGTGATTAGAACCCTGGGTCTCCAAGGATACCTGATGGTTATCTAATCCACATCAAGTAGCTCTAACTTTTAACTATAAACGTAACAAATTTCAGTTCCATTAAACTGTCTTCATAAAAACTCAACAAAGTCTAACCTAAGTTAAGTTAAAGTGTACTTTGGTATTCTAAATAAGAAGTAACTTTTTCACAAACAACAATTGTTGAGCTCATAGCGTGTGTGCAGTTTAAAGTATTTGAAAAATTTACAGGTGCTTATCATATGAGAAATCATGTTACTAATTATTCATAATGTATACATGAAAGATACACATTCACAGGAAATCAACAAACTGATGGCAGATAAATTTGGCAGTATTGACTAAATGAAGTGTGTGCCATCAAAATTTGTCCTTCAGCTGAATTCTTACCCAGGAATGCAATTTTTTAGTGTTTATCAATATACATAAAAGTATTCAAGCTTTTGTTTATTTTTGTCAGCTACTTCATGTATCAATCAGAACCTACTTTGTGTAAATCTGATTGGTTTCTAATGTGATCTATTGTTGCTGAGCCTAGTTTATATTATTTTGTACATGAGTTATTACTTTTTCACTAATGATAAATGAAAAAGGCTCCTAGCTATTTTCAGCCAATCAAAAAAGTGTAATTTTATGAAGTATGAAGAGAATCTAGAAGACTGCCAAGCTTGAAGGAGGTCATGAGATGTTAAGGTCTGAATAATTCTGGCCATAACTTGGAAAACATAACACTAATCACATTTCAGTTAACATTAAAGCACTCGGCTTCTATTCATATTTTAATAAAAGCAAAACCACTTTGTTACTGAGTTTTAATGGATTACTCCGCAAAGTTTGGAAACAATCACAATAGACATTTAGCACCTTGTTAGCGACAAACTGCAGTTTCAGGTGAGGTGTTAGATGTTTGTGACTTTTATTAGTTTAGCTATGTAAACATGAAAGTATAATTTCATTTAAAGAGGCCGTCAAATTGAATTTCCAGACAACAGCAGTGTTTGATTTTCTAATGGCAACAAAAAAGTCCTATTTTCACTACTGGCTAAAAATGGTTTATTCTTTTCATATTCAATGACATGTAATGCCATGGGTGGTAAGGTATTTTGCAGTTTAACCAAAATTTTGTCTTTGCATGTACTAAAAAGACTGGTTAAGTAATTTTCTCACTGAGCATGTGGTATAAACAGAAATTCAGGATAAAATGTTCTAGTAAATGACTTATGTGAAATGTGACCGCTAAGAGAGTCAATAATGACTCCTATGTTTCAATGTGGCATGACCTGCACTAAAGGCCCAGACCATGAAATATTGGCCTGTGAGAGCACAACTCCATGCTGTAATCTTCACTTAGAAGACAAACCAACTGTAGGAAAGCCAGCGTGTGAAATCTAGGCAACAAATATGAATGAAAAACTAGATAAAAAAAACGATCTTTGACAGCGTGTTACAGCCACCATTGCAAAATGGTCGCTTTCTGAAGCTTTGAAGCTTAGGTAACTTAGCCAAGCATAGACTGGAACCTATCTTCGACAATAATAAACTACGTGACAAGTGCTCTGTTCACTGTGATAAATCCAGCAAGGAATAAGTATCTTGGATCATATAATGTGGTTTGTTTTACACTTCATGTAAACCACACAAAAACAGTTACAGGATAAACCAATAATTGTATAAAAACTTAGGCAAATGCAAGCACAAAAAAAGGTTCATTTCCAACAGAAAGCCTGGGTGAACACAATTATGTGTCTAGTTTCATTCTGATATTGACGTTGGTTTAACAGTCTCTACATTCTGATTCATTTGCAATTTTTTGTCTTTGATACTGAGATTGGGTTTGCCAACCCCCTTTTTTCTTGATTCAGAAGATTCATTTGCACGTTTCTTTTCCCTGGTCAGACGCTGCTGGGCCAGCCTCTTTTCCCTAGATTCCCCACTTTCATTTACCCTTCTTCATTTCTCATATTCGTGTTTAGCAATCACTCGTTTTTTTTTTCCTCTGGCGTTAGAGTTAAAGACTTTTGCTTCCTTCTCATATGTTGTGTTTGGTTTCTTTTATTTCTGAAAGGCAAATGTTCAATTTTTGGACTCTCGTGAACATTTTGCAAATCATTGCAAGGTTTTCAATTCCTTCAATGGTAAGCAAAGTACATTTCCCAAATGAGTGGGACATCCGATGCAAATCCCTGAAATGAGCATCAAAAATTTTAAAGCTTTGTTCTGAATTCTTAATCACTGCAAAATTATTTATTCCAATCGTTAACAAACAACACTTGTGGTTAAGTTGACAATTTGAAAACACTTCTGTCAAAGAATTTTGAAGAGACATGTATGGCCCATTATTTGATGTCATGAACAAACTTCTTGTTAATGACTCACTATATTCTAATGAGTATACATTATTGTACATTGAAACATATGCATGGAAAATCAGTTAAAAGCAAATAATAATTGGTCTGGACAGAACATCTTATAGAAGTATACAAATTATTTCCAACGGTAAGAATATTATTCAAAAGGGAAGAAGTCCACAAATTGATATCTTCTATGTAATGATAAATAATAGCAGTTAGTGACATTGCTACACATTGCTTACAGCATTTTCACCAAAGAGAGCTTCATTTCCTTGACTGTAGTCAGCACATACTGTTCTTGTTGGATCGATGACATCAAATATTGTAGGGCCTGGATTTTCCTTTACATCATTTGCTTGCCTTGCAATGGAATATAGGCATTGTAGAAAATCATTTGTGAAAACCAAAACATCACATCATTCCACATTTTGTGTTGTCCAACAACTTGTTTCAATACTGGCAAGTAAAATACATTTAAATAGAACATCACAAACATTAAACTCCAACAATGATCATTAAAACGTGATAAGATATCCTTGGTTTTCACGAAATTGTCATGAGAGCCAATACTTGACCGGTATTGTTCGATCGAGATTCCCATACTTACTTTTTCGTTTTGAGATATGCCTCCGTGAATTCTCAACAGTGCAAGGAGAAAGCAACTGCAATACAACTTATTTCACTTTCTTGCACTTTCAGGTGGCTTCAGACACTTTAAAACACTTTCAAACACTTTCAGACACTCAGTGGTGCAACCCGCACCGATAGACCAAGCCGATAGTTGTTGGCTTGTGGTAGTGCAATAACTCCTTTCAGTGTACTACAACCCTTAGCGAAGATTCAAGCAGTTAAATATTGTCTTTTGAGAACGTAGAAGCTCTTGCACAAGCTGCACTTATAACAAAAGCCGGGTCTGAATGTGTTGGCTTGTGTGAGGGGAACTAACTCGTGATACGATCACCTGAAAAAAATTACTCGAGACCACACTTACAATCAAGATGGCTGACTCAGATAAGTGCGCCGTACAATACTACGAGACTAGACCACGTGACAGGCGCTCGACTCTCGTGTACAAATAAATAAATAAATCC